TGGCTGGGGAATTCTGGGAGTTGAAGTCCACCCATCTTAAAGTTGCCAAGGTTGAGAAACACCGGTCTAGATGCTACCTCTTAGGTGGGCAAATCCGCGTGCAAACACGGTACCCGGAAGCCCATCCGAACCAACACGCAAGCTCTTTCTTTAGCCAGCTATCCAAAGGTTCGGACACAGCAGAAGAGCGAAACATCTTGGTCTGGATTTAGCGTGATGTGCAAACCAGCCTCCGTGGTGCCCTTACTACTGAGGTGGTTGGGTTTAGGGTTAGAGTGGCATGCTAGGTGAACCCATCTCGTCTGGTTTGTTGAACAAACTGTGGTGCAACCATGGGTTGGCAATGGCCTTCCCAGGTTGAATTAAGAAAAGGGAACGATTATAAGGTTTCCATGTGCAACTTGGCTCAAGGCACAGGACTAGCGGATGGCGAATCCGGTTTCCTTTGTACTCTTAATCTTCTGTGACCAATTCACTTCTCTTTGGTGGAATGCCTTTCAGGCCAGAAGAGCTGGAAAAGGCTGCTGTGTAAGACAAACCAACATAATCCGTTTTGGCTCCTAAAAATTAACCAGGCTGCCTTTCTGGAAACCACCATATAGATACTATGTGCCATCAAGTTGTCCACTCTTCGCGACCACAGATTTTCTCCACATTACAAAACTTTTATATTTAAGCAGGGTGGCTAAGTCATCCATAACACTGACACATTGTTTTTTAAACATATACATATACAGCTAGTCCTCGTTTAGCGACTGCCTCATTTGGTGACTGTTCAGTGACGACTGTGATGAAGAAGTAACTTTGTGACCAATCCTTGCATTTATGACCTTCGCAGGTCTGTAAAACAAAGGAAAGCAGAAGTAACATGGTAAGCACGGTCGCAGCTTCACTCAGCGACCACTTCATTTAATGACCAAGTTGCCGGTCCCAATTGTGGCCGCTAAACAAAGACTACCTATGTATATTATCTCAGCTTTCTATCAGCTTTTAAACCACATAGGATTAAAGATGCTCGGATGGACACTAAGATTTGTATGGTAACTTGTTTTATACGCATAAGCAGGCTATGTATTTTTAAAAAAATCAACAGAAAAACGAGTTTGACCACTTTGCTCTGTTTGCTTTTAAAACGGTTCATCCAACAATACATCAAGAGCATGCTACTGATGTGTTCAACAAAGGCGTTTAATACCAAAATACAATTAGTCAATACATGACAAAACTTCTGTAAAAGTAAAATAAATTATTCTAACATTGTTCAGTATTTCGTAAGGTAGTCAAAGTAGTTCTACAAAGTCTGTCCATCATTTCTAAACAAGACAATGGTAAAGAGAGTTTAAGGCATGCAGTTTAATGTGCAGATCTTACAAAATAAGCCATCCTATCGGTCAGATACAGTAAGAGAGAGAGAAAGGTCTGCGTTCTTCTACGTGTCAGTTTTCTATATGTTTTATACTTTGGCTATAAAAAGCAGTGCCATCGTATTACAATTCCTTTTCTTAAAAAAATATAATGTATCCATGCTCATGAATATCAAATGCAAAAGTCTATTAAATATATTTTAACATTACTTTGAGCACCGACTGTACATTTTTTTTTATTTATTTAGTGATTAAATAAGTGCTTTAAAATTCAGTAACTGGCAGAACCCCCGTGTCTTTCAAGGGAAGGACATGGTGAAGCTCTAAAACAGCCTCTATCAGCAAAGCTGTTAATGCCATACTTAATTGTGGAAGCAGGCCCCGTTGAGTATAATATTGTGTTTCCAGGTAAGCTACTTAATGTAATCATATGGAACGGGCTCAGACATGTGGTTTTAGTCTACTCAGACAGGAGAGCAAAGAGTGAATTGCACTGGTGCTTCCCACATGCTAGATGTTGTCTGTTTTACTTCCACACCCTGGAAGGTGTGTCTATGTTCAGGCCATGTTTGCATAATATCTGCATATATAAAGACCAAACCATCTACAGGCTAGCATTTCCTAGAATAAATGCAAATTTGGGCTTGCTTTCAACAGGATTTTATATGCACCTTGCCTAAATACTACTTGTTGTGCACAAATGTCCAGTAAGTGCAAATGGGATTTCAACCACTCTCATATTCTTCTCCCCTGTTCTTGGCAGTGTTTTGCATCTGGGGTTCAGCTGCTTAGCTCTAACAAGTGCAGCGGGCTGATTCTTTAGCGCAGAATATATTCAGTACAATACATTGAATACAAATGGGCTCCACCAAAGTGTTTGGTGGGGTTCTGCACTATGGTTTTAATTGTTCTCAATGAAATCTCCTCCCAAACAAGCATATGTAAATAACTGTAGCTTGTAGTATCAATGGGAACTTTGTCCATAAGAACTAGAAACCAAAGCTGAATTTTTAATTCAGAGCACTGAATCAGCCCCTACCTAAATTAAAACAAACACTATATTTAGAAAGTCCAAGCATTGTCTTACCAATACCTAAAAACTGAAGGGAAGACATACCATCTCTCTGAAAAGTGCTTTTCAATAAAAAGGAAATGCTTGACATCCAAATAGGGTACATCTCAACATTTTTTTCCAAGGCAGGTAACATGATCAATAAACTAGTTTCAGGCTCAAGACTGAAGAATGTCAGTTTGAAATTGGTTCGTTTCTTGTGCAAATAAAGGTAACGTCACTCTTAGTACTGACAATGTAGTCACTTAATTAAAAAAAAAAAATTCTCCGTGTTGTTTAACAGTGTGAGTTAAAGATTACATATACAAAATGCACTTATTTATTCCTTGTGTATTTTTTTAAAATTGCATGCCTAAAAAATAATAGTTAACTTCAATAGGAACTTTACTACTGTTATATAAGCTTATAGTTTCACCATTTTCTTGTAGTGTACTAAAGAGGCATGATCTATTATGAAAAATGAAAATAAAGAACAACTCTCTTGGCATGGAAGGGAAAATTAAGAGTGAAATTTTTGCCTGGGTAATTTATATCAAAACCTAAACAGGTTACAATAAATAGATTCTATTTATTGAAATGAAAGGGGATGAAATGTTGATATTCTTAGTATGATCAAGATACTTCAAGAAGTACCCAATGATTTCCTCTTTGAAGCATGTCAGAGGTTCATGCTGAGGATGAAATACCAATGCGCAGAGAGCAGGAGAGAGCATTTTAACCAGTCTCATTCCCATTCTCTTGACTGGGAAAGTCAAGTACAGCATCCTGAAATGAAAGCATTCCCTCAGTTTCCCCTCAGATGTTCTGTTCTTTAAAGCAGAGTTTCTCAACCTCAGCAACTTTAAGTTGTGTGGACTTCAACTCCCAGAATTCCCCAGCCAGCATGGGGAGTTGAAGTCCAC